TCGCACGTGCATAGAGAATATCCCTGCAAAGTTTCAACTTTCTACCTTGCCTGGTTCGCGAAATCGTTTTCTGCCAACATATTTTTTTGGGGGGCCCGTACGCGGGGTCTAGACGCGTGTGGGGAAAGATCTCAAAATGGGAGGATGACACACGGGGTAGGAACGTATACCCGAAGTTTCAGCCTCCCAGCTTTCCTGGTTACTGAGATGAAAGTGGGTGGCAAAATGCACTCGCTTCCGAAAACACACACAGCCAGTCTCTCGACAATGTACGTTTTTGTTGGCTGTAGCTGCACAGCAAAAACGCGTAAAAATAGAACTGCGGAAAAAACAGAAAGTGCAACTGTCGTTGAACCTGCCAGCTGTGAACGAAGCCAATGATAATGTTTGCAGTGAATGCAGTAACACCATTTATTACCTGCAGCATTCTTGAATCCAGTGCCTGGAATTTGACTTGTCAGCGTTCCTGCACACTTATTCTTCTCAGTTGCCGAACCACCTAATTTTGAGTTCATTATTGTCTGGATCTCACGCAGCTGATGTTCTGGATTTCATTTCACTCGTTGTGTGAAAAAATGCGGTTTTGGATGATTCAGTGTATGCAGTTTTGAACTAGACTTTCGACTTCGTAGTTTTGCCTCTAAGCTGATTTTAAATAACAGAAACACTCGAAGGTACTACAGTTACTTCAGGCTTTACACTCAAAACTTGGCTTTACCCTTCGTCTTGTTATCTGTAGATCTTTTGTATGAGCGGACGTCCAATGACTATTGATTCATTCAAAAAAATAAGAAAACCAAAAGCCACCGGGAGTTTGTTTTTGGGTCTAATTCCTCATCGGTTTATCGCTTCTCTTTCCTGACCTTTCCCCTGTGTTGTTAGAAATTACGTCTCATTATTCATTGACTTCTTAGTTCCTTTATTAAATCAGCCTCCTTGTTAACATCGCGCAACAGTGCGTTCACATTAAAGACGACGACGTCTCGTGTCTTCACATATGTATATAGGATATTTTGAAACACAAAGAATCGGGCATAAATGAGGTTCCTTTCTGGATCGAATATGATAGCACCCTTTTCTAAAATGAGCATAACGATGGTCTTCTTTCGATCAGATATAATAGCGGTTCTTTCTAAATCGGACATAACTGAGATCTCTTTTGGGTTGCACATAACTTCGCTCTTTGCGTGGTGTAAGATCGAAAGCTCCACAGCGACATGCACAGCACCACGTAAAAAACCAATGAGAAGAATGATGATTTTTTATTTTGTATATCATCGACACGGTAGGTGATTTTATAGCGGGTTGCAAAATCTTAGAGAAATCGGGTTACAAAATCAACCAAAGCGAGTTACAAAATCTTAAAAAATCAGAGTTTAAAATATATGAAAAACATACAGCTTTGACATTGGGTGCGTCGGAGGCGAGCCTTGTAATCAGGTTTCCAGGTGCGTGAGCCGGACTATCGAAATAGGCCGCATCCTGGAGGAGAATATTCCGAAAGGCACGTATGCGGAAGGACATCACTGCGTTTTCCGAAACCACTCCAAACAATGCTGTCTACAGTTTTATCCGTTAGATTATTTTATATTTTCAAAAAACTTATTAGCATAACTTTATAAAATCCTCGTCGTTCTGCGAGGAATTTATAAAGTTATACTGATAAGTAGGAAGCGTGCAGCAGTAATCATATGCATAATCAGTTAAACGATGGCAAAGACAAAGAGCAAATTGCTCCAGTGATAACAATTAGCAGTGGCTTATCAATTTGTAGAATCTTGGGACCTCTCGCCGGGTTCCCAAATGGCAAGTGTAACTGTGCACGTCCCTTGTTAACATAAGTTCAGTTGCAGGCTAGAATGCATGTGCGCTCGAACGTTCATTCGCCACTGTTTTTGGTTCAGAGTGCTGTAGTCTAATTAGTGCCGTGAAAGCCAAGAAAGTGTCTTGGGCCATTTTTCCTAGAATGATTGCATCCTAGCTTTTTAGTAGATAGGTTTGTCGTGGATGAACTAAAAACGGCCTACACTGATAAACTGGGAGACGAAAACGATCACTCCAACACCACAATACATTGCCAGAGCCAGACAGAGATTGTGGATCAGTAAATCGCCACTTTCAAATGCTTTGAAAACAAACATGAACAGTAGAGAGATAGCTGGAAGATGCAGTCCGCATACTGCGCCGGTCAGCACCCCCAGTATCTGCAACATTATTGGGCTCAATCTTATCGTTGCTTATTGTGTCTTTGAACAGGCATGGATTCTTGGCTGGAGCGTATGAGCGACTGGTTTTAGTTAACAGCTGGTACTTCTACTTTGTCACGTTGCGAACGAGTTAGTGTTGGCCGAAAGTGGGTTGAAGTGCAATTGATTAGAGTATCGAAAGAATGCAGATTCATGGGTTTCAATTTGAAACTGTGCAACTCTGCAAGAGCTTCATATATGTTTAAGTTACAATTTTAACATATCTCATAGCTGGCTGATAATTGTTTCAGGAGTAGCACTTATAATTCTACGTTAACTCATTAAATATCTGCACATTAAATAGTACATATTTAAATATTAAATATCTTCTATCATGAAATGAAGAAAAAAAAAATGGCATGGCTGTATGTTACATCACTGATATACCAGTAGTGAACTAAAGGCCGCTCATTTTTATCTGGCTTTAACTAGACAGCAATTCGACAGCAAACCGACTGCCGGTTCAAAAATGCATTTTTTGCACAGTTTTACCGCAGATTTGTTAAAGACACTGTGTTTTTCGGCAGGCACTTTTAGCTAAACAATTGAGACAGGCTGTCACGATTGTCAGAAATTATCACAGATTCCCAATAAACACAGCATTGGCCAACAAAAAAAAATTCAGCACTCTAGACGCTTCGGTTGCGGAGTTACGTCAAAAATTTCATACACTTTCGTGCGTAAAATCGCGCGCATTTGCCCAAACAAGTTATGGAACATGCGGAGAAAATTCACCGCTCCAGCTGCTTTGGTTGCGGAATTATATTAAATTCCACGCGCCCATACATTAGGGGGAATGCGGATGCTCTTTTCACATGCGCTTACTTAAATACGGACCTGCACCACGTCCAAAAAATTTCAGCATTCCAATTGCTCTAAATATGGAGTTACGTCAAATTTTATAAGTTCATGTGTGAGGCGAACTGGAAAAATTTTTGTTTTTATGCGTTTTTGCTGTGCAGCGCTATAGCAGCGCTATAGCGCTGCTACAGCCAGCAA